AACGGGAGGAACAACTAATGGGAATAATGGGAATATATATACTACATCTTATTACCTCTTCTCGGATTTATCGCAACTGCCTGCCAGTCACTTGTCGATTTTGAAAGGTAGTTGTTCAAGTAAGCATTAAACATATTAAACATCATAATTAAAATATTAGTTATTAAGTATATATGCACTATGACTGGGTACAGTGCGCAGCATCCCCTCCATGCGCAAAGTACAGGGTACTCAGAGAAGAAAATACAACTGAAGCCAAGCTCATTATCGAAGCATTCCTGGGCCAACGGGGCGTATGGGTGATGGGCGATGGGCGATGGGACTCGCAAAGCAGGGGATGATGAGCTTGTTGTCGATATGCCAAGATAAAGCCAGCAACTTGTTTTTGTTTCTGTTCCTTGTGGCTGGCGTAGTGATTGTTGATGCTGCTGCAAAGTGTAAGCTGAAAGTTCAGGCACAGACAATTGCAAAGGAGGAGCACTGAGGGCGAAGTGGGGTATGCAAGGGGTATGCGCTTCCTTGTCGCTGTGTGTATTATGTACTTGCCCCGTTATTGTTGCCCCATGCCACACCACACCATTCCATTCCATTCTATGCCATTCCCACGGATCCGGCAGCTCCTCATCTACACAATTGTTGCATTAAATAAATGTTTTTTGTACCCATGTCCGCCTCACGTGCTTACATGTGAATGCGGAGAGAAAAAACGCCTGTGAACAACTGGAGGAGTACCCCAGATTTAAATTAAATGAATATATAAATCCCTAGTGCAAAATGAAATCACAATTGAGTCACTTTGTCTTGAAACATTTTTTAAAGTCTTATGAAAGTAGCCATCTTTGGTCTTTGGGGCAACCAATACTGAAACAATATTTTTAGCAGTGCTGATCTAAATTTTAAAGCTGTAATAATAGTTGACCGTGCCCACCCAACAAATAGGCGATACTAATTGTTTTCCGTGCACCAAGAAATTCATTCCAGCGGAAAAACAGGGAGAGAGCCTCCCAGGCACAGACGTTGATAGATTTCCATGCATGGCCGACACTCCTGGCGAAGGAAACGGAAATGGAAATGGCGGAGACGCGGGCAAGGCTGTGGAAATTTAGAAAGCTCACTCAAACACACACATCCACACACACACTCTATGTTTGCGGTGTGTGCAATGCGTTTTAATGAGTTTTTTGTTCTGCCGTAATTATTTTTGCAGTCTGTTGTACTCGCAAGCGCAAACATCCTCGAAGAAACGGCAATCAGGCCCAGAGTCATTTTAATGAAAAAATTCTAACTGCAGGAAATGAAGCACTTTCGTTTTGTTACGTAAAATGCATAAGGCAGATATTTATATGCTCATACATTAAGCAAAGCAAATAATTATGAAAATATTTCTGTTATTTTAGGCGTGGGTTGTAAATCAGTTCTTTAAATTCCCACTACAATATAGGCATTTTCCGGATTGAGTTAAATGGCTTAATGAATAGTAAACTCCTGTGCAACTTCTGTGGCAATCAGCAAATCAATTCAAACACCAAGCACAGCAAATAAAACTAAAAAATATAACTTGAATTCATACAAAATATCAGCATTTTTCGGATTGAGATACCAAACTGTTGGATATGAAACGTTTTAATGAATTGTGCATTCCCTGGCCATTTCTATAGCAATCAGCAAATTGAAAGTGAAATGCAAATGCAAGTGCCTTGCAACAAAGACAGCTTCAGCATTAATCACACACAAGTTCGCCAGTGGAATTATGAAGTTGCCATTCCATATTCCCATATTTACATTTGTGCAACTGCAACGCCGCAAATGCGAAATCCGCCCGCCTTCTGCCACTCGTTCTTGTGCCATTATTATCGCTGCTGCAAGTAATTGGCAGACTGTCCAGTCAACCTGACATCCCAGTCGTTGTTTACATTAATTTGATTTAAAATGTAATGCCAGCGCATCGGATGGCTAAGCTGCCAGCAGTAAACAGTGCACGAGTTCGCAAATTCTGGGCCATGACGCAAGTTTCATTTACTTAAATCTTGCTGAATGCCTGCCCAGAAGCCGATGAATAAAATTATGATTACATATTGTTGCAATACAGCTCTAGATGAAATGTATATCCCCACATTTGATGATACTCACTTATATTTTACTACCCATACTTAAAAGTATTATATATACTATATTTAAGAGTTAGCTAAATAACGTCAAGTAACTAAAACATTTTAAGCTACTTTTTGCATATACATAGACTTTTAATTTACTATTATATTACTTTTACTAGATGGAAAGAATGAGGGCAGGAAAAAGTTTGTTGAACAGCTCATTTATTTTGAGTGTGCTCTCTGCATGAAATTTCAAAATGTTCCAATGGTTCATTACCTTAGTTAAGCGTTAGAATTTTAAACGGAAATTTCAACTCCACAGCAATATTCAGTGCTAAACTTTTGAAATAATACCTTAATAAAATGTTGTTTGTTATGCATATTATATTTCGGTTGTGTAAATATTTTGTCTGCCATGGTAAACAATGGAGCACAATGAATCCATGTGATGTGGGGCTTTTAATTTGCTTATTGTGGGAGAATTATGGGCCAAAGCGAAAATAACTTTCCCTTTTTGCAGTTCTCACATAGTTGATGGAATAAAACCCGTAGTAATTATATGCTAGTAGTATTTAATTCCTGCATTTACACGCAAATTCGCATTTTCCATAGATACAATTTGCCTGCTCAGCTATTTTTCCGATTGTACCTACAAAATCCGGTGGCTGAGCTATTTTGATGCTGTGTTGTTGCTGCTGCTGCAGTGGCGTTAAATTTTGTTTTCAATTTTCAACACTTTTAATAGCCAATTAATTAAACGGGCAAACAACAACAAACGACTATCTACCCAAATATTTACACACACTTGCGTAAATATCCGCGGGTTCACCTATATAACTCTGCACGGCTTCTGTGTGTTATGTATTTGCCTATATATTTTTTGGAGAATAAAGAATTTTCCCGCCGGCCTTTGCACATGTACCAAACATTTTTATAATGGCTGGCCGAGCTTCTATTATTCAACCAGACCACCTGATTCGCACCTGGAACATCCATCCCACTATATAGTACATATGTGCAAAGAATGGAACTTTTCGCTATCGCCACATGCATAAATCATCGGCCAACTGGACTGCCAGTTGGCCAAGACAGCTGAGCAGGCTTCTCATTTATGCTGACCAGCTATTGCTAAATAACCAGTTTTTAAACAAAGCCAGCCAGTCAACCAGCCAGACAAATCGTAAGTTATGAATGCGAACGGCGAGAGCCAATTAAGATAATTACTATTTATGAGGTTAGCATGAAGGGAAAATGTCGAGCTCAGGAGATTAGTGGTAAGCTTCAGTTTATCCCTCGTCCAGCTCCACTCTCGGCTTGTCAAAGTTTGTGTATTTATATCTACGCATAAATTATTTATGCGTGAAGCAGGCCCCAAAACTGTGTGGCCCAAACTTGGCATTTCTGGGCGAAAGTTTCCAACCAGCCCCTTGCAGACACTTTCCTTTCCTCCCCGAAGTCCCAACATTCAGGTGTTGGGTATTAAAAGTTTTCAGCATATGTCAAACGCCTTGCAATTTCGTCCTTGTTTAATTACAAACCTAATGAATTAAACACGGAGAGGAAGTGTGGCTGAGCTTATTACATGAATTACTCAGGATAACATGCAATAAATTGCTAAAGGAATTTTCGCTAGTGCCACATATATATTGAGTTGAAATTTCACTCCCCAGGCGGTTGTATGAGAAGTATATTTACATTGTAACAAAAAAAAGTATTAGCTGATAAATAAACTATATAAATATACTCCAAACACAGTTGCCACGGTAAAAGGTAGTATAAGAATGAGCCGAGGAATTGAGGAAACATCCTTATAGAGACAAATAGCAGGCATTAAAGAAAAGGTTGTCTGCAAATTGGACACACGAAGGCCTGTGGTCAGTAAGTCTATGTAAAGGTGTATTCAATAAAAAAGCAGGAGAAGGCAAGCTGGGCGTATAAACTACTTCAAAAGCATATCCAGAGGTCATCAACTTGACAATGGGCCAACTCCCATTCCTTTTCAGATGCTTTCCTCAGGCGGGCGTGACCAAAAATGCCTTTTGGGCGTTACCAGGGGCAACAATTAAAAAGGAGATCTCTCAAATATAGGCTAGCCCCAAATGGATTATCAGGATATTGACTTGGGGCTCTCTGATGCGGCAGCATTTGAGCCCAAAAAGGTATTACCCAAAGGTATATACCCAAAAGCAAACAGTCACTTGATTAAAGTTGCATTTGGGTCGAGGGGAGGCAAAAGTCGTGTGACAGGTGACAATTTGATAAGAACTCGATTCGCGTTCATATTGATTTCTGACAGCAGCTGTGACATCAATCAGTCAAAAAAGTCGGATGTAAATGTGTATACATATCCGTTTTCTGCTTCTTTAATATTCGGAAACCAATTTTGCAAGATTTTATTGAAATATTTCAGGTTACTACACTTTCCCTGAAGTAACTTTCAATAATCAGAATTCATAGTTTCCTGCTCCACATTTAAAGAAGTATACATAGTAACGAAAAAGTTCACAACCATATAGAATATATCAGAATTTTGCGTTTTTTTGGGTAAAGGTTAATGTAGATAACTATCTCAGGGTTTTCTTAGCGTATATGAAATTAGAATAAAAAGAAGTACTCAATCAATCAGTCAAAAAAGTCGGATGTAAATGCTTCTGCTTCTTTAATATTCGGAAACCAATTTTGCAAGATTTTATTGAAATATTTCAGGTTACTACACTTTCTCTGAAGTAACTTTCAATAATCAGAATTCATAGTTTCCTGATCCACATTTAAAGAAGTCTACATAGTAACGAAAAAGTTCACAACCATTTAGTATTTTTCAGGATTTTGCGTTTTTTTGGGTAAAGTAGATAACTATCTTAGGGTTTTCTTAGAGTATATGAAATGTGAATAAAAAGAAGTACTCACACAGTGCGAACTGCTCCAGTTCCTGTTCCGCTTCCGCTGCCGGTGGCCTTGCCATTTCCGTTTCCAGTTCTACAAGTATATCCGACTCCTGGTGACCGTCGGGAAGGGGCTGCCACTATGTGCTGGCCGAGTCGCCCAGCGGCGAGGCTATGTTGCTGTTGCTATTGCTGTCCGAGGCGGAGAGGGGTCGGCAGATGCCCAGTCGCGTGAGTCCAGGCGGCATGGCCTTCAGGATGGACACCGCCTCGTCGAGCTCGAGGCCCTGGAGCAGGCGATCGCCGACGCTCATGAGGCGATCGCCCGGATAGATCTCGTTGGTTGCCTCCGCAGCACCACCGCGTATCAGGCCGCGAATGACGATGACACTGCCCTCGGAGTCCATCGGATCCTGGTAGTCCAGTATGGAGAAGCCGAAGCCCTGTTCCGTTTTCTCTATATCCACGGCGGTTACTTCGCAGCTCCAGAGAGCCAAGCCGGAAACGTTTTCTAGTGACTTGGAGCGAGCTCCTCCACCTGCAGTGCCCCCCGATCCTCCAGCCGCTGCTCCCGCATCCGTTAAAGTCGCCGTGCTGGACGTGTAGAGCGAGCTCTCCGACTGGGCCTTGCTCAGCAGATTCTGGAGACTCTGGTGGCCACCGGGCAAGAGGCTACGAGTCTCAAAGGCCTCCGGATTTTGCGAGGTATTTATGACCGACGGAACGTGAGTGCCGCGTGCGCAGACCAACTTAACCCTGGCGGGCAGTTCCTTGAGGATCTTAACCACCTCGATGTGTCGCAATCCCTGGAGCTTGTGCTCGTTCACCTGGAGGAGCTCATCTCCCGGCCGCAAGATGCCCTGGCGGCCCACCGGCCCGTCGGCCAGTATCGAGCGTATATAGTGATGCGGACGCTTCTCAATGCCGCACTCCACGTCCACGGTGCCTTCAAGGCTGATCCCTAGACCTGAAAGTTTATTTATTTCGGCAACTAAAATTTCACTGTCGGGAAACTCACTTTTCCAGGCCACGCGCAGCGAGGCGGCCGTCGGGCTGGCCGCTTTCACAGGTGCCTCGTTCGTGGGCGTAGGCACTTGGCCGGGATCAAGATCGGGATCGGGATCGAGATCGAGATCCGATTCTGTATGCCTTTCCGCCTCCGGCTTTGAGCCTTTGCGGGCCTGTGCCGTTTCCGTTTCCGCTTCCGGCTCAGGACACTGCTCATCGGTGTCATTGCCACTGTCATCGGCCAGGATGAGGCTGCGCCCATTAGTCAGCGGCCCAGTCGGACTGATCCTGGGCGCCTGATCTTTGGTGACGCCTGCACTGTGATCACTGCGGTCCAGCACGTGCGACATATTTGACTCCACGGTGTCCCGGGAGGGTAGCTCAATGAACTCATCCTCGGCTCCCGAAATGCCCACATACTCCGCCTCCACGGCCTCGTCGCCTTCGGTGGCTATGGAATCGGCATCCAGCGACTTGGGTGGCAGCCAACTCAACGTGGCTATTGACGGGGACCCAGGCACGGATATCTGCGACTCCTGGTCCTGGTCCTTTTCTAGATTCCTGTCTAGGCCGGAGGGAGCAGATGTTCCTTTGATTTCGGTGAGGGCCACTTGCAAGTGCTCGTACTTTCTGCCTCTGAGGAATCGTTCCAGAGTCAGATGAACCACTATGTCTGTATTCCTGAGCAGTTCCACCGCCTGATGGTTGGTTACCCCGGATAGCGATCTGCCGTCCACGGCCACAATGCGATCGTTGATCTGGATCTGACCACTTGTTTCCGCGGCACTTCCCTCAATTATGCTCTTCACGAAAATGCCGGATAGATCCTCCTCCTCGCACACATATCCGGCCACCGTGATGCCCAGGCCGTAGACATTCTTGTGCAGCTCCACCACGTACGTTTCCGTTTCCGGGGAGTCCATGTAGGAGTCGGGGGAACCGGAACCCGAGCCCCAGCCGGATCCGCCATCTTCGTTGGCCAACAGCTTCCGTTTGCTGTCGGCTATCACAGTCTCTATGTGCTGGTTCTGATCCTGAACGCATCGCCATTGGGTCTCCAGGGGCAGCATCTGCAGGGCGGGACGTGGCGGCGGCGATAGTATCGAGAAGGGCACTATATCCAGATCCAGACGCGGGCAGGGGCGTTGGCCGGCATTCGAGTCCGTGAGCAACGAGTGGCCGCCACCACCCGGAATCGGAGGCAGTGGGAAGTCAGCCAGGTCGCCGGCCAGCTCGGACAGTTGTTGAAGCTGAAGCGCCGCACTTGGTTGCGGTTCCACTGCAGACAGTTGCGAGCCCTCGGCGGGACCGCCGCGCACCAGACCCACCAAGCTGGCCACATCCAGGACGCCGCCGCCACCGCCACCGTCGCCGGAGCCCGCCGCTGCTGCCGCTGCTGCTGCGGCGGCGGCAGCAGTTGCAAAACTCGGATTCTGGAAGAGATGACGCGACAGTTCTTCCGGGTCGGAGAGGAGCTTAGTTGGTATAATCGGCGCCTGACAGGCCAGCGTTTGGTAATCGATGGCCGTCGGCTCCACCGGCCGCGCCACTATCAGACGCACCTGAGCTCCGGTCTGACGAAGAACTGTTGCCACCTGCTCCGAGCTGAAGCCCCGCAGATTGACCTCGCCGATCTGCAGCAGATGATCGCCCAGCTGCAGTCGGGCGTCCCGCTCGGCCACGCCCCCGGGCGTTAGGGCCTTGATCACCACACCGGTGCTGCGGCCGCCCACGAGGATGAAGCCCAAGCCGTTGCCATCGTTGATCAGATCGATGACCTCCACCTGCGACCACTCGGTGCTGAGAACCATATTTTCCCCCGGCTAATTCTGCTCCCGACGGTCGCCCTGCTCTCTTTGTAGTTTTATTAAATGTTGCTGACGATAGTTGTTGTTCCTGTTGTGTGTTTTCCGTTCGCTTGGCCCTTGCTAACATGTCGCATTTATGATTGTGTCCAAAATTTAGCGGTGGTGCTGTTGGCAATTGTTCGTTGTTGCTGTTCCGTCGGCTCCTCCTCGCCGTCAAATGGAGCGAGCGTGATGAATATTATGGCTGCCGGAGCAGCTGATTCTGCTGTTATTGCTGTTATTGCTATCGCATCGAGAGTCATTCAACCGACAATTATGGCCCGGGAACTGTGCTCCTGGCACCGCCAGCTCCAGCCGCATCATCCACGACCGCAACAGCACAGCGCACCTGTAATTATGCAGCACACGCACGCACTTCGCATCAAACAGGGTGGAGCACGCGGCGTATACGCAATACGTGGCATAGGTGGCGTATACGTAACGCACTGCACAGTGGGTGTGTTTGGGGTACGCGGCGTATACGCAATGCGAGCGGGGACAAAAAGACGGGCGTGAAGTGGGAATTTAAATTGCCGCCCTGCCAGGCATAGCGTTCGACGTTCCTGGCCAATACTCTCGTTTGAGGCATATAAATGGGGTCTTGAGCTAACCGCATTCTAATCAATTTGCACTCGGATAGGGCTGCTGAGGAAATCAACATACAAATCAAAAGCAGCGGCTCAAAAAGGGACATATTTTCAATGCACTATATTTGATGTATGGTTTTTTAAACAAAGTATAGATTGATGCAGTCAACCTTAATAAATGTAAGGAAAAAGTGGTGTAATAATGAAAATTAAACTAAAATTTATTGTGAAATTTATTTAGAATAGCTTTTTTTTCGATAAATTAAATTATGTGATTAATTAAATTATTTGACAAATTAAATTATTTGATAAATTTATTTAACCTCATAAGAAGTTTCTGTATCATTTAAATATATATTAAGGGTTTGTAGAATTTCAATGGTATTATATGTGTTGGAAATAGATTGCAACAACAAGCATTTTACCCATGTTTCTCCTTTTTATTTGGCAATCCAATAAGTGACCCTTCTGTTGGACAGAAATTTTGAGTTTTGCTTTTGGCCTACATAAATGTTTGAACAGGTCCGCAAGGGTATGCATAACTCGATGTTCCTTTAAAGTTCGCATTTGTAAGCTGTTGTTTTTTTAATTTTTGTTGCCCCCCTTGCCTGTTTAATGCCACCTTTTTTGCACGATTTTGTAATTTACATGCACACACACGCACATGGGAAACGAGAACTTTTTACCTTTGCAGCTCACGTGCCACGCATGTTTGGCACCAGTCCCGCTCCGCCACACCCGCCCCGCAGCCGTTCGCCTCTTGGCCAGGCCAAGAGGCAGTTCTAATTGGGAAATGCCATGATATGGGTGGGACTCAAGCAGGGAAGGCACGGAGCGAAGGAGCGCAGGAGGAGGAGCCGACTTGCGACTACTTAGTGCTGCATACTTGGCGGCGCCGTCCTGGCAGCCGAGAAACAATCTGCAATCGAGCGATAAGTTTCGAGCTGCCGCAGCAACTGCCACCAATCTCTGACAGCCATATGGCTAATAATTGGAGGGAAGAGGCCTTGGTGAGATGGGCGCCCAGGGGGAGATTCCAATTTTCCGCTTTCTCTCTGGCCAGAAACAGCCAATACAACTAATCCTGTGGTCGAACGGAAAATGTTGATTCTGTGTAACCAATCACCAGCAAAGTTTTGGTGCAATTAGTTTATTCTATGCTTGTATTCAATGATATTTAATCAAAGAAATTCAATTTTTGTGTGTCCTTGCAATTTTTGCTTTTTAATCAAAGTTGTATTTGTTTTTTCTTTTTTCAAAAACGTTATTTGTTTTTATGGCCTGGCACTTAAAGCAAATGTGAAGTAAATAAAACAAATCACTTAAGGAGATTAAAAACTTGTTTGCGTTAAAAAAAATGAACAAAATTACAAAATTGTTTTTAATGTATTAAGCAAAATTATAGATCGTATTGCTTGGTAGTTTAACATTCAGACCATTACCCCATTTAATTTACGTTTTGGCTGTTTCAGGTTGAAGTTACGCTTGTTCTATGATTGCGCAATGGATGCACTTGTACTAACAAACTATGGAGTTTCCTAGGATTTCTCCATTAAGCCAAAATAAATATACTACTCCGTACTGCTTGATCACCAACAATTTACAGCGTGTGCACACAATACTCACGCCAACCTTTGCCCGAAATCATTAATCAAAAATACTTCCCAAGCGGACTTTGCTCGGGGCACTCTGGAGCACTAATGTCCTGCGTCACAGCAGCAGGAGGCAGGAGGCAGGACGCAGGAGCGCAACCGAAACCAAATCCTGTCCAGTGGGCTGCCGGTTTAATTGTTGTTTCCGAGTGCGCTCGATGGGCGGTTTTCGGGCATCGGGCCAATGCTCGGCGTATCTGGCAGTGACTGCCGCTGTCAATTAAACGCTGATTGACTTTGCATTCGCAGGACACGGATTGGCGCACGATGCGTATGATTAACGCCGCTTGTTCCGAGTCCCGTGCTTCGTCCGCCTGTGCCTCCGCTGCCTGCCACCGCAACTTTCACTCTGTGCCTTTGGTTTGGCCATTTGCTTTGGCGGCACCACCCCCTTTGGTTTCACACGGAGAGAAGTTTGGCTGGATGAAGTGACATGGCGAGTAAGTTGCAATCAAACTCCAAAACGGGCCAACTTTTCAATTAATTGCTTAAGCTGCTCCAATGGTTTTCGTTATTATAAAACTTATAAACATCCATCCTTTTGCTAAAGAATATTTCCCATGTTCAAATCTCAAAACGAAACATTTTCTTAAAAACTGGTGGAAACCGAAGGTAAGCAATTTTTAGCCAATTATGAGTAAAACATTGGAGATACACTAAAAATGATTTCCCCAATTTGGTTCCTTTTTTGTTCTCCGTGCCCTTGCGAGCGTGCTTCATTTAAGTTGGTTGCGGTGGACGGGCGCGCTGGCAAGGAGGAGGAGCCAGTGAGCTGGCACGCAGCTGGAGCTGGAGCTGGAGCTGCAGGAGGACGAGGAGCAGGAGCAGCAGCAGTTGACGTCCCAAGCCCATTACCCGGAAAAGTAGGCCAAGCGCGTTTGAAGTTGCCAGCTACCAAGCTGCTATTTCTGTAGAGCCAGCGGTTCGTACTGCCCTCTCGCTCACCACCAGTCGCCCCATCTCTTTCTGGGCTGTGCCTGAGCCTGTGCCAGTTTTCGGTTTCGTTTCAGCACGCCTTTGGCCACTGTTGCTTCTAACGCACTTCAAACTGCCGCGGCGCTGACCTACTGAGCATTATTAGCCGGCTCACGGCTCGAGTTTTGGCCCAAAGTCCCGACGTCAGTCAAGCGTCGAAAATCGATAAGCAAAAAAATAGAGCGGCGACGAGGAAGGTTAACTCCAAGTCGGAAGCGAAGATCCGCATACCCTGGAATCTCAGCCAAGTCATTAGATATGTTAAAACCAGAGGGCTTTTACAGATTTACTCCTGTCTTAGCTGATCCAATTATCGTATGTTACATCTTCAATTAATGGCTTTCAGAAAACATAAATTTCAAACAAATTTAATATGATCGCAGAGTACTGCATAAAAGTGACGAAAGCACTCAAACCATGTTTTCATGTATAAAAAAGGCTATTTAAATGGTAGACTTTATCGTGTTTCGGTTTCACTGAACATTCGAGCCACAACGGCAAAATGATTCAGCGAGCAAAAGAAAAGTTTGTTGTACGTAGGATGTATCAATTAAAATGATAATAAATTTAATAAATTCATTTCCTCATAAAACCAGGACCGTGCAATTTGATTGAGTAAAAACATCAGCCTGCAAAAGTTAGCATGAAACTAAATAAACAAATGTGGTTTTTAAATCGAATGAAAAATCCGTCCGCGAATCAGTATTTTTTCAAACAATTCAAAATAGTTTGGCAACTCGTCTGCTTAACTCAAAGCCGTTAGAGTGATTACAGGGTATTGGGGTCTCAACGGATGTGTTTCTTTTACCCATGGCCAAGCCAAGCCATGCCAAGACGTTCGGATGCCGGAGCTGGAGCTCCTGGAGCTCTTGGTCTAGCCGCATTGACTGCGGCTGTTGGCCGGGTTGGTGGTTCGAGTCGGAGGTTTCAGGTTGTAGGTTGTAGGTTGCAGGTTGTGGGTTGGCGGCTGCGGCTGTTTGCCGTGTGGTGTCGTGTGGCTGCGCCTTTTGACCCACCTAACCGCCCCGCAGCCCCCCGACCGTCACAAGCTCTTAGCCAAATTGCTGCAGCCCGAAAAGGGAGAAAGCGCGAGGGAGCGAGAGCGGGGAAACGGAAATAACTTGTAAACTTGCGGCACGCAATTTGCAATTACTTAGGCGACTGTTGCAAAGGAACATTAACGCATGCAAAGGACAAAGGCTAGAGCGACTGCCAAAAAAGTGAAACTTGCCCCAACTATTTGCTATTGATTAAACAACTAAATTTGCGTGGAGAATCGGCTTGTGCCTGGATTGCGTATACGCCGTGTGTTGCGGATATTGAAGCTGGCCAAGCCGCTTATTTCACTCTTAAGCTTGATTTCACAAGCACATATTGCGTATACGCCACGCGTGCCACTCGTTTTGCGTGAGCGTTTTTGAAGCCGTTGACGATTGCAGGGCTTGCCACCGGTTATTCAGTTGGCCTAGTTGTTGCCCTTTCTTAGCCAGGCTAATTACCCGCACTGGCTGGCCAGTCGATGGGCCAGCAAACGATTTCCGCTACAATTCCGTGGCACTTCATTCACGCACTCGACAAACACAGGCACATGGCACGCTACACACTTGCTGGTTTGCTCTGCCAATTTTCCCGTTGCGGGCCACAATTTTCACACACATCTATCACGGTTTACGCGCGCATTTTCCGGCTCAGCAACACGCCCGCACGCCACGAAGCTTCTTGGCCAAATGAATTGCCCGCTGGCCAACAGCAGCCGCTTCGCTCAAAGCGAGGAAATCCAGGGGGAATCGTCCCCACGAGGGGTCCACTCTCCGCTCTCCACGCCCATGCGCACTGCATGGACACATGACTCTGGAGAGGATTCGGAGCAGCGATTTGGAAGCTCTGCTGCCGCCGCTCGCAATATTTACAATTTGAAACTGGCAGGCGGCGGATTTCGACGCCGCTTCGCCTTTCATTCAACTGTCAGATTTCGGGAGAGGCACTGAGAGAAAATACCCCGAGAATGAAGCCGTTGAGCGAGAGAGCGAAAGTGCTGGAGCGCAAGTTCCTGCCCACAGAGGCGGCGCCACGTGGAGCTTTTGGGGGACTTTCGTTTTTAAGATATTTCAAAATTATACGAAGATATATTTAATTATTATTTTTTTTTTTTATTTTATTATTATGTTACTCGTAAACTAAAAGTGTATGCGGGTATCTGATAGTCGGGGAAGTCGACTATAGCATTCCATCTTTTTTTTTAATTTTTTTGATGTTATGATGTTGTAGGAGTTGAAAAAAATTTTAAAAAATCCCAAGGTTGAAGTTCTAAACTCCATAATTAACTTATCTTAATCGGATTTTTGAGTGGCATACCTCTGAATGCTACTGGCGCAATTCTCTAAAAATCTGCATTCAAACTAAGAAACTAATTTTTTTTTATGTTTTTTTGTAATTTTTCTGATGTATGATGTTATAGAAATTCCATAAATTTAAAAACTGTCCTAAAGCTGAAGTTCTATACTCCATAAATCAACGTATCATTGGATTTTAAAGTGCCATACCTCAATTGTTTCTGAAAATCTGCTTCAAATTTAGAAAATTTGTTTAATATATTTTTTTTTTTAAATTATACCCGTTACTCGTTACTTTCAAGCCACTTAGCTTATAAATCGTTGGGTCTTAAAATTGTAATTCATTAAAAAATAAATCAAAGTAACATGGTTTAGAGAAGAAATAGTGATTGATTTTATCCAGCAAATCAAATTTAAATTAGGTATTCTGTAAATTTATGATATACACAGACAAATAGAGGGGAATAACTCTTGTGTTGTTTAAAAACGGTCACTTATATAAACTTTTAGTCGTGTCGTCCCTCTGGGTAATTTATTCAGTGTTACTCATAATTAACCCAACAAAAGCCGGCAAGTGCTGCTGAGGCAACCAACAACAAACCGCCTGCGCCTGCTCTGTTGTCCAGGACAACCGCTGGCTAGAATAAATAAGTTCCCAGGTGTCAAGTGGTGGGTGCTCGGACGCGGGAGTGGTGGGCATGTGGACTCCGCTCACCTGAGCTCCAGTCGACGGTTGGCAGCGCCACCGCAAGGCAACCAAGGATTCAGAGTTGAGCCGAGAAGCGTGGAATGCGCCCAGTTCGCCAACTTGGGGTAGACCGGAGACGGAGGAGCACCTGCCCCAACGTGGGGGCTTAGGTGTCAATCATAAGAGCGCGTCGAAATGGCTGCAAATCGAACTCAGTGAACAACTAGCAACAACTCAGGCTGGAATCAAAATTCAAAGTTTGAGCACCTTAGGAGTTTCGGCAGTTCTCAGTACAAACTACAGAAAAACACACGTGTGACCACGATTATCCCCAAAAAACAAAATACACCCCAAACGACGAACGGAACTTGATTTGAAAACCGACGAAGGATAAGTTCACAGAATGTCGGAGGCTGGAGAACACTCTGATGCAGAGTCCTATGCAGAGGAGTCCTTCGAAGAGGACTCGCAGTCGGAGGTGGAGGAAGAAGAGGTTGCGAATCCAAGTGAAGCGCTCCTGGAGGAGAGCGACACCCAAAGCGAGAGCGAAGCGGAAGCCGAGTTTCTTCGCGGCAACGTAAGTCCTCCTCTCCAGGAGCTGACTATTTCCGAGTTCAGCCTTAATCCGCAACCTGCGTCGCGCCCACAGCCACACGCCCGTCGCCAGTTGGCCGCCCGAATGGTGTCCTACCTGAGTTCCTCCTCCGAGGACGAAAGCCAAGTGGTCATCACCAAGACGGTAGCCGAGGTAAATCAACTAAGTCTGCGAATGGACACGCCTCTGGAGGATGAGACGCCCTCGGTGCGCACCCTCATGCCAGGCAGTGCCCATTCCCGGGCTAAGAATGAGGAAGAGGATGAGGACGAGGATGAGGAGGAGGATGAGGACGAGGATGATGACGAGGATGATGACGATGATGTTGAAGTCGAGGAAGTCGATGAAGAGGAGGAAGAAATCCAAGGAGACGAAGACGACGCCCAAAGCGATGGATCCATGGGTCGTCAATCCGCCGAGAACAGCGATGAGGACGAGGGTACGGATGTTGAAGTGGAGCAACTGGAGGAGGATGAACCAATAGTAACAGCTGTATGCAAAAAGCCGCTCCAGGAGGTGGTCCCGCCGCCCCAAGAGGACATTGTTTCGTTGGTGGATGCCAGTGACAACAGCAGTGAGCACAGCGTGGCCACCATGTGTGTGGCAGGAGGCGAAACGGATACCACCCTGATGGAGTCTCCTCGATTACAAAACCAGGTAAGTTGATGGATTAGTTCATATCCAACTAGAAATAATTAAACATCCACCCACAGCAACCAGTAAGTGCAAATGAGCCCGAGCCGCTAAAGGAGGAGGAAGAACCGGAGGACGATCAAATGACCATGAAAAACCTTGATGTACTTTTAAATAGTTGTGATTCATTGCCAACAGCACAGCCCAATCTAGCGAGGGTTCGGTACCTGGAGCAGCAAATGACCCAGATGTCGGAGATGATCATGAAGTCGTTCGAGATCAATGGAGGAGCGCCAAATAGCCAAGCCTTCGAGCAGCTGGCCATGGCCACGGAGATGATGCAGCAACGTAGTAACATACGCGAGGACACCGAATCCGAGATGGCATCGGTGACGGAATCGATTGTGACTAGTGCCAGAAGCTTGGGTGGAGGAATTCCCCCCATGAGGATGCGGATGCAGCGTTCCCAGGAGGCATTAGTCACGACGCGACCTTCCAAGCTACTCAGACCCAAATGCAGATGTCCCTCGGAATCGGATTTAATCGAACACGAGCAGGAACTGGAGTTGGGTCAGGAGTTGCTCAATGGACTGACACCAGACGTCGGCATGGGCATGGCAATGGGCGAAGACTACCTCGTGGACGAATGTGGCCAGGGCGACGGACTCATGAGACATCCACAGCAGCGCAAGCCGCCGGAGTTCAACAGGCGAGCGGTTAGCGGAACTCCAAGCAGCTTGAACAGCGACGGTTGCGAGTATCAAATCAATGTGTCGCGATCCCGCTGCTCTAATGATAAGATGAAGTGAGTAGCTTTCACCATTTGGAAAACTTTAAAAACTATCCTTCTATATAGCTATAAAAACCTGGGCCGCAAGAGCTTCAGTTTTACGAATCCCCAAGTGCGCGAGATCGAGCGCCAGAATCAAATTCTTCTGCGCAAGATGATGACTGTGAAGCCCACGGCGACGATCAAGGCAAGCACCAGTAACATTAAGATCAATGGCCCAGAGAAGGTGAGTACCTTATATAGAATTCCAGTCCAATCATCATTAACAATGTGCTCCAGCGACAGCCACCTCCGGCGCCGCGTCTCTCCAGCGCTGCTGTTAACCGGAAGAAGTATCAGCGCCAGATCGACCTGGACAACGATCTGCTCAAGCGGAAACTGGAGGCCATCGGCACCCGACGACCGCAATTCAAGTGACGCCTCCACGGGCAGCTCTAACTGTGTTCATTAAGTGTTTTCAAAGTGTTTAATGCGAATTTACGAAATTAAAATTTATTGCAAGTTGAAAAATGTAGAAAACTGTACAATCCTAAACTAATTTAATGGGAATTCGAAACCCAACTAGGATCGGTAAATAATTCAATGAAAATGTATAATCTAGTAAAATTTTGCATAAAAATTTGTTTCTAATTTGTACATTTAGGTATATACAATACTATAAATGTTAATTCTAATCAATAATCGAATTGGTAAGCAATATTAAATTTAACAATTATTTTTCAGCACGTTGAGAACAAATTATACTAAGAAAAACTCCCGAAAAGAAGAGTAAACTTTTAAAAAGGAAATAAGCAATAGATGGCATATCTGTAACTTATAAGAAAAGCTTACAAAGTGACCTCATTGATCTTGCTCAGAAATGTCTCGCCCAATGTTTTCATTGCTTTAAAGGCCGCCTCTCCGTTCTTTTCCTTGAACTCTTCTTCATTTATGATCTTGGCCTTTTCGCGCCGTTCCAATTCGCGATAGATCACCTGACCAATCTGAAAGAAAAACATTGAATGAACAAATTTGTTTAGGAACATAAGTATCAACATACATAGACATCGATGGCAGCGTACATCAGTTGATTCTCGTCCAGCGGAATGACATGCCACTTGCTCATGCGCACCTTCTTGCTTTTGTCCATGGCCTTCTTGGCTATAAAGTTGGTTAGTCGCTCCAGGCTCCAGCGCCCGCCGGTCTCACAGACCTCATTGCACCAAACACCCAAGTCAACGCATTTCTCTATCAGCGGTTCAGCGGAAACCTCGGGGAAGTCTCGTGCCAGTTTTCGGAAATCGCTAGAAAATAATTGATTCGATTTATCTGAATGGTTTTTCCATTTGTATTACGTACTTCTTTATGTTCACGCCATGCAGTCGCACTTTGGAATGATTGATAAGGGCCACTAGGACCGCGGGAAGTTTCTTGAGATTGGTCAGCTGGTATATGTAGCAGCACTTTTCATCCACGCATATTTGGATGACGGCAGACTTTCCAGGTCCGGTTTGGAAAGAGAAGGGCCACTCCATGTCAAAGGCCATTGGCACTACCTCATCTTTCTGCTTTTCCACCCATTGCCTACGTGTAGAATTGTAATTCACATAATTAAATAGCAAAGGGGATATCTGGTATTCTATTAATAAGATAGGTCTTTGACTTACAAAACATCGTCAGCAGATGCTGCAATATCCTGGCTCTCGGTATAGTACTTAATAGCACCCTTGTATTTAATAAAGGGCAGCTTTTCGGGCTTCTCCTTTTCCGGCGATGGGGACCCATCCTCTGCCATTGAACGAGTGCTTCTGGTCAGCCTGGAACTCCGGCGCTTGGGCGGGTTTTCTTCCTCGGTCGCTATCTTCTCAGCTTTCTATATAGGCATTAAGATGTTCCATCTCACTATATAATAAATAATTATTAATTATTTTCTTACCGTCTCTGGAGTATCCAGATTCTTTCGCTTGCCAGCCGGCCTACCGAGTCTTCCATTTGTTTGCTTTGGAGTATTGTCTTCTCCAGCATTTTCCTTGTTTTTTAACTGTTTTAATAATATAAATATTTTATATAGCTTTATACATAAAGATTGTTATTTTTGAAAAATAGCAATAGTCTAGGTTATATCACATGGATGTTTCATGTTTATTTATAAGAATACAAAAAAGAAAAACTTGCTAGAAACATATGTATGTAAATAAGTAATAACCAATTGCAAACCTCTTTTGGAGTATCATTTTTTGTTACTTTGCTTCTTATTTTGGGAGTCCCTTGTTTGACGACTGCCTTCTCCTACAAAAACACTTGTACATTAGTTTTCTTCCCCATTCTGAACTGTTAATATAACCTACATCCTTAGGAACTTCACTTGCTTTTGATTTAATGGGCATTTTTATTAGATATTTTTCCATAACCCGCGTTACTTGTCCGTCGTTTTTTATGCTTTGTTTACTATTGTTTCCCGCCAAAATCACCGAGGGGTAGACACCCAAAAATACCACAGTATGTAGAAATACTGTGACGATCTATATATGGCGATTGAATTTTTCTGGTACAATTTTTTTTAATTTTCTTTGGAAGATGCATATTAGCTTTTAGCCATTTGTATTTCTAGGCCATATACCGAGCCGAAATTTAAAAAATAACAGGTAAATTCCATTTTTGTTTGCTGGCTTGGTATTTTTGCTTCCAGCCCTGCCGAAAGTATAGATACCACATTTATTTTCCCGCTATGTTGTAAAGCGATCTTCCTGCTCTGGTCACACTTAACTTGAAAGCCGCATTATTTTGTTTACATCGCGAAATCTCTGCAAATTCCACCAAAAATATGTCCATTGCAAACGTTTCCACTCACTACATATCCGAGAAGGTGGCCAGAGTGCGCTGGCTGCCGGAGCAACTGCAGCAGAGCGAACGGTTCGTCACTGGAACCTGGGACATGGACCAGAACTTCGTGCGCCTCTGGCGGCTCCAATCGAACCAATATGCCACCGCCACGGATTCGGACGTGGATCAGATGCCGCGCTGCATGGACAAGGTGAGAATGGAGGACGATGTGACCGCCATGGAGTTCGTGGACAAGGACACGCTAGCTGTAAGCTGTGCCGATGGTTAGTTTTAAATTAAGGAATCATGAATTCAGCTAAGTAAATATCTCTATTTCCATACCAAACAAGGCCATCTCAGCGTGTTTAACGTCCAACGAGCCGTGGAGGAGGATCAGATGCAACGTACGTCCCGATCCGAAAGGCTGCACTGCTTCCAACGTAGCCAGGAGCCGGCTCCTTGCACCGACCTCTCTGTTTACGGCACGGATATCGCCACCGCCGGCGAGGATGGGTGCGTGAGCATCGTGTCCGTGGGAAATGTGCGCCAGGTGAAGCGACACATTGAGGCGGACAGCATGGCGCTGTTTTCCATTTGCTATATCAGCCAGCAGGAATTGGTGACCGCCAATAGGATGGGTGTTATCCGAGTGCTCGATGCCCGAGTGGCCACTGAAGCGCAGCCGAAGACCACTTTTATGGTGGCCTCCCAGGATGACAAGTCGTCGAACTTTGTCTCGTCCCTTGCAACGCATCCCATGCAGCAACATATCCTACTTTGCGGCAGTGAAGAGGGTTCCATCACCGTCTGGGATATGCGAAACCTCAACTATCCCGCCTCCTATCTCAGCGCCCACAAAAGTCCTATCAACGAGATAGGCTTTCACCGAAAGGATCCCAGCAAACTGTTCACCGCCGCACAGGGTGGCGAGGTGTGGATGTGGTCGGAGAACAAAGTTCTCGGGTGCGATTCCAATAAGGACGGTCACAGTCCCTGGTTGTCTGGCGATCGTGTTCGCTCCCTGGTCGAAGTAGAGGGAGTGCTGACTAAAATTCGCAAGTCCATTAACTCCTTCGATGTCCATGGAAGCCGTCTGGTCTGCGGAGGCGACACAGAGGCCGTTTACCTAGTTGATAATATTGTTTGAATGCCAAGATATGAAATTTCCTTTCTTAAATTATAAAATTTTTCAATTGTTAATTTGTTTTTGTGTATAAATCAAAGGAAAGCAATTGGTAAATGGATTTCTGAAAGTCATAAATCCGTTAGTTACTGTATTTAAATTTTATATATTCTTTATTATTTTTCTTGATATACTCAAAAATTGGCTTATATCAAAGCACCTGTCTTACATCTACATCTAATTTAAGCTTAGGATAACTATACTCGTGTACAGGTGTTTATGTGTTTCATGCCTTGGCAATACCAATTTAAATATTCTCGTTTTGGGTGCTGCTGTGTTGGTTGGTCTTATGAATCGTACTCATATCCGACTTAAGTCCTATTTCGTTGGCTAATTTGGAATAGATTTATGCGTGTTTTCAACTACCTTATTTTATAGATGAGCTAACTTGGAATCAATGCACATTAGACTAAGCGATTATAATAAATATAGTATGTATAAATATGTACAGTGCAGCTCTTAGGCCTACGTTTGTTCGATTCTCCGCGATTTATCAGATTTGTATTGTTTGAGCATTTTTAACTGCATTTGGGTGCGGATCTGGGGTATGAGTATTACATCATTAGGTTCAATTAGGATTTTAATTTATCAGGAACCCAGATTATTAATTATTTGTCTATAGCAATGCTAGTTATGGCATACATTATTGGATTATCAACGATAGAGTTACTATCCCTGGATAATTCGCTGAGTGTTCCTCCGATTTAATTCCTCATCTGGATGGGATCCCTCAGCTTTCAGGCCCTAGTAGAATCGTTCGAACTTGGGCGCCTTGTTCAGTGCGCAGAAATAATACCCTGAATAGTTTTGTGTGGCTCCGGGTGGAGTGTAATCGCCGATGCTGTAGTTCCCGTAGTCGTAGTTACCCATGTGGGCGTGGGCGTGGTGATGATGGTGGTGCATGTGGTGGGTGTGCGGGGGGTGGTAATGCTGGAAACCTCCTGCACTCCTTGGCTTTTGTCATGTGAGGAGGCTGTTGCCACCCCCGCTTCCGCTGCCGGAGGACTCTCCTCCAACTCCGGTTGCCCCATTGCTGCCATTGCTGCTGTTGTTGTTGCCGTGGACGCGCATGTGCCGATTCAAGTTTCCCGACTGCGAGAATCTGCGGACAGCAAAAAAGCAATTAACTCAATGTATAGCTCGATGTCCTTCCAGGACTGCTCATTGGGGGCTTAATCCATAGTTAAAAAATGGATATACAAACTGATTCGCTAAAGGGTAAATTAAATCTTGAGCTTTCATTTTAAGGGATCTTTTAAGCACAGCAAACCAATGTCGTTCATTGAGGAATGGGGGAGGTGTAAGACCCCATCCCGGACTCACCTGAGCAGGCAGAGCTTGCACTGGTAGGGCTTCTCGCCACTGTGGATTCTCAGGTGCTTGGTGAGGGTGCTGCTGTCGGAGAAGGACTTCTTGCAGGAGGAGCAGCGGTACGGGCGCTCGCCGGAGTGGGTGCGCATGTGCGTGGTGACGCTGGAGCTCTGCGAGAATCTCCGGTCGCAGATGGGGCAGCGGAACGGCTTCTGGCCGGTGTGTGTGCGTACGTGGGCCGTCAGGTTGGCGGCCTGCGAGAAGCTCTTGTTGCAGTCGGGGCATCGATAGGGTCTTTCGCCGGAATGGGTCCGCAGATGGGTCTTGAGCGTGCTGGGCCGGGCATATGTCTTTCCGCACAGCCGGCACAGATTGGGTTTCATCTCGCCGCCACTGCTGCCCTCATCCCCGTCCAGATCCTCGTTGCTATCCTCCTCGTCCTCGAAGGCGGAAAGACTCAAGCCCAGGGCGGCGGCTTGATAGCTACTGGGACTTTTGTGGGGCGGTGTGTATCCCTGATTGCTCACCCCCGTTGGGTAGTAGCTAGCCAAGGCGGAGTTAGCCGGCGGCGATGGCGATTCCTTTTCGCCCACCGTCAGCGGCGGCAGGGAACTCAGACCCGTGGGAGCCGGTGCCCGGAAATCCGCCGTGAAGGAGTACGTGGCCGAGGCGGGATAGTGACCGGGACTCAGAAGCGGTGGGTATAGCACATTTACCGCTGCTGCTGCGGCTGCCGCCGAGGAGGAGTTACTGGGTGGCGTCCAGTTCATCTGGGAGCACTGCATTGGCACACCGCCGGCATCTCCGGCACCGTACCCATGGTGCATGGTCATGTTCATGCTGACGTTCACGCTCATGCTGGGATACATGGCTGCCGCCGGAGGAGGAGGTGGTGGAGCCGTTCCAGCACTGGTATCATAGTAGCAACTGGCAGAGTTAGGCGCACCAGAACTGCCATTACTGCCGATGTTGTTGCCACCACTGCTTTGGAGGAGTGAGTTGCCTACGTGCGATGCCTGGACCTGGGATTGCTGGTGCTGCTGGTGTTGCTGGTGCTGCGAGTGCATCTGGGCGTGGTTGTGGGAGTTCGGCGAGATGAGCATCTGGTGGGGATGCACCGTGTAGGAGAGCGAGGCGGCCTGGTGCGGATTGCCGGCGGCAAAGTTGTAGGATGCGCCGCAGGGCGAGAAGGGGAACAGGCTGGGCAGCGGATCGATGTCCAGCGGCGGCAGACCGGGAAACGTGGATGCCATCTCGTCGGTGCTCCAGTAGCCGTGATTCCCTGAGGAGCCTCCTCCGGCGCCGTTGTTGCTGCTCCCGTTGCCGCTGCTCGCCGGCGGTGTGGTGCTGATCTGGATGTGGCCGCCACCGATGCCCACGCCCACTCCAATCGTGGGATCGAAACAGCCGCCGCAGTCGAAGTCGCTGCTGGTGAGCGAGGAGATGGGCAGGGCGGTGTTGCCCTGGCAGGATAAGCAGCCGACGCAGGAAGCGGCGCACTCTTGCTGCACGAGCGGAAGCGGAAATGGAGATTGAAAGCGGTTAAGAAACAATTGTAAAATTAAGTAAATTTAAATTATTTCTACCGATTTAAAAAAATCTATTTTTTAGTGGGAATCGTATCAGTTGAAAATGTAACATAATATAATACTTTTGAAATGACAGCAAGAGATGTTTATTGAAACAAATGTTTGCATATACAAATGATAAACTTCTTAGTTAGTAGAAAAATGTCCGTTTTTTTCCGTTACCGTTGTAGAAAATTGAAATAGCAACAATTAGGGATTGAGTTTAATTTCCTGGCCAGGTATATCACAGATTTCAGCTATCTTCTGACCGCGAAACAAGCACATCCGACCGCTCAGAGATTTCCGGAGATATTGAGACGAAATCAAAAAGGGATTCCAGGACTCACCTGCGGGCTGTCCAGCGCCAGGCCGAACAGGGGATTGTTGGGCACATAGCCCGTCTCTGGTTCCACAGGACCGCCGTTTGAGACATCGCACGATATGTACATAGCTCCACCCTCTTGATCTTCCAGGGAATCTGCGCAGCCAAAAAAATACCGTGAAAATCACTGGAAGTACGCCAGAGATGCTCGCCAGCAGCGCGCATCTCATGGATACATTTTGTCCCATGACAACCACTGTGCACTGGCTCCGCCCCTCAAGACACACACACAAATATACAAAGCGAGAGACCGCCATTGCTTTGCTCTCTCGACTCGCGATTTTCCATCTGTGTGTCGCCTTATATGCTGTATCTGCATATCTGTGCAAAGGCGCTTCTGCTTCTGCTTCTGATTCACTCACCCAGAATTGTGTTCAGGAGTTTGGAACCCTTATATAACAATCCCATGACATGACTCCAGTTCTGGAACGTTTGGGTTCAGCAGTCGCGCATTTGTTTCTGCTTTTCCTACGCTTCATCTTGATGCGTTAATTCCCAGCTGCAAGGCGAGGACGGAACAATATTGGTAAATTCTTTTTCAATGCGGTTATTTTTCATTTTAAGTACTTTTAATTGAATGTAACCACTCCTCGAAAAAACTGTGTCCAAAAATTTACAAATCCGGCTTTACAAATGGTAAAGAGTTAATAAATTCAAAGTTTTAACCCGTCAATGAAGCAAATTACATAAAAATATTAATTTAAACTCTAAAGTATACGTTGTTCTCCACTGAGTATATAAGAAGAAGAAATGTGGATATCAATTCTATTGTACATATAGATCTGAATTAATAGACATTTCCATTTCGATTGAAATACTGTAAGATTTCAAAGATTTCCTTGGGCTAGGACTAAAAGAATTATATTAAAACTATAATTAGTTTAATTTTGGAGAAAATAAACTTGTGTATTAAGCCGACAAAACGGAAGCATAATTATTTAATATATATTCAAACATACAAATCCAAGAATATATTTGTTTTTCTTTATGAGACCAAAACTATAAAATTGTTAATTTAATTTAAGTATTGTGTCTACTACTATTTAAATTGAAGTTTTTCGATATAATCCGAAACATCGTGAGAATATTTTTATTAGCTAGTTACAACATTAGAACGTCGTTGCAGTTATCAGGTTTTATTTAAAATATATTATTTTTCTTCCATTAGCTTTTAAGGATATGGATAATATCCTTGTTATTTGGCAACATTTTATTTCAACATTTTTAAACAGTTTTAATATATTTTTTGCAGATTTAATATTGTTAGTTGCGTTCCTCAATCACATTTGCACTCTTAACCATTTTCACCTTCTGAATAGATCCACAAATTTCATGATACCAAGATCACCAATAGGATTTCAACGTTTTCTTGCAAAATTTGACTTTAACTTTTTTTCGATGATTTAGTATTTTCAGTAATATCACACGATCGTTGTTCTCCGTTTAGAAATTTCTAAGGTGCCGTTGTGCAGTTTTCGAGTTTTGAGTTTTCGAGTTGAGTGCGGGGCAAGAAGCGACTTTTGGCGAGGAGCATAAGACGGCGACTAATTGTCAGTTTCAGTTCGAGGCACCTCGGCCCAAAATCGACTGATATATCGGATTGGCAGAGCGGCAGCAAAGCGACAACTACAGAGAAAAAGCAGGGCGCAAAAAACATACTTACTTAATTATAAACAAGCGACAAAGGGCGCAAAAGACAACGGCCACAATCTCGCTCGCACTCACACTTTCAGTCGGATATAATGACACAAGTA